TTCAGTGGCAATCAGTTACACTTAAGCGTGATAGTTGTGAGAAGAAGTAAGAAAATGATTCTTGGCACGACTGAACATCTCTTGAGGGATAATAAAGAAAACCACATCTTAAACCTTTTAGACCTGGCGTCCATTACTATGAATGTGCATATGACTCTGCTTTAGATCTTGTCAATGAAAGGTTGTATGTTTAACAGCTAATCAAATAGCAATATCGACCTTCATATTTTTATTTTAGAAAAATAAAGCACATTGACGACAGACATAATGGCACTTTAGCCAAAGTGCAAAAGTAATGGTCCTTTAAAACTTTTTTATATTAACAGGCATCTCATAACAGTTTGATAGATTTATTGTAAGATTAAACAGATTTGTATGTATAAGTCCTATTTCAACTGTAGCTTTACAACTTTGGCCATTAAGTATTCATTTTTTGACAGACCATTTTTTCTGTCCAAAAATTTGAGTCTAAAGGAAACAATCCACAATACTGTCCACAGTTTGCTGCATACAATGCTTTGTGGTCTTTTACTGTGAATGGACAATTAATCAGTGACATCTCTTTAAATCTACATTACATACTTTCTTTTCCATGGTTTTGCTTTTTGAAAAATCAATGCTTGATTAATTGCAAAAACCTGGTCTTTGCTGAGAAAAGGATGATGGTGTCTAAATTAAGGAGCACAAACAACATCATATCAGCATCTCTCTTTCACCTGATCATGTTCTTGTTCAACTTTTTGATGTATTAGAAAGCAGTAATATTGTCTGTAAAAGGACAGACAAAAAAGTGAGCTCATATTAGAAGCATAATGTGTTATAAAGAATACATTAATGATGTAAACCAGCCATGTATGGACAAACTGTCTGCCTTTGAATGCTGCTAGTATATGGCCATAAGAAATACTGAGACACTTTGTATTTTTCAATATTTGCCCTGAATCCTCAGACTAGACACACTACGCAGCAGTGTTCAGCTGTGTCTGCCCATAGTGCTGTTTGTCAGGCTGGCTATAGCCACTGTGACAAATCACCAGCAGGCAGCCTTGTTAAAACACTGATGTGGTTTAATGGGTGATGTCCGAGACTTGGGTACATCTGATGAGCTCTCAGCAGACATTAATGTCCAGTCATATCCACTAGAGCAATCACAATTCTGGCTGAAGTTTGCTTGTTTTGTATTTCTTTTTCACATAGTGAAAGTAATTTCTAAACTAAATCTAGACTACGCAGCCTTTTTGGTTCTACGCTGACTAAATCGTTACGAACATCTCATCTAAAAGTTGTCGGCATTCAGATACAGTAGGAGGCTGGCCTGAATCCACGAAGCCCAAAACAGCGACTTAATTCAGCTACCAAAGTGCCTGCAACAAACTGAAGAGAAAAACGAGCCTTCTTATGTATTTTCAGCCTCAGCCAAAATAAAGCACATTGACGACAGACATAATGGCACTTTAGCCAAAGTGCAAAAGTAATGGACCTTTAAAACTTTTTTATATTAACGGGCATCTCATAGCAGTTTGATAGATTTATTATAAGATTAAACTGATTTGTATAAGTCCTATTTCAACTGTAGCTTTACAACTTTGGCCATTAAGTATTCATTTTTTGACAGACCATTTTTTCTGTCCAAAAATTTGAGTCTAAAGGAAACAATCCACAATACTGTCCACAGTTTGCTGCATACAATGCTTTGTGGTCTTTTACTGTGAATGGACAATTAATCAGTGACATCTCTTTAAATCTACATTACATACTTTCTTTTCCATGGTTTTGCTTTTTGAAAAATCAATGCTTGATTAATTGCAAAAACCTGGTCTTTGCTGAGCAAAAGGATTATGTTGTCTAAATTAAGGAGCACAAACAACATCATATCAGCATCTCTCTTTCACCTGATTATGTTCTTGTTCAACTTTTTGATGTATTAGAAAGCAATAATATTGTCTGTAAAAGGGCAGACAACAAAGTGAGCTCATATTAGGAGCATAATGTGTTATTAGGAATACATTAATAATGTGAACCAGCCACATGTATGGACAAACTGTCTGCCTTCACTGCCTTTGAATGCTGCTAGTATATGGCCATAAGAAATACTGAGACACTTTGTATTTTTCAATATTTGCCCTGAATCCTCAGACTAGACACACTACGCAGCAGTGTTCAGCTGTGTCTGCCCATAGTGCTGTTTGTCAGGCTGGCTATAGCCACTGTGACAAATCACCAGCAGGCAGCCTTGTTAAAACACTGATGTGGTTTAATGGGTGATGTCCGAGACTTGGGTACATCTGATGAGCTCTCAGCAGACATTAATGTCCAGTCATATCCACTAGAGCAATCACAATTCTGGCTGAAGTTTGCTTGTTTTGTATTTCTTTTTCACATAGTGAAAGTAATTTCTAAACTAAATCTAGACTACGCAGCCTTTTTGGTTCTACGCTGACTAAATCGTTACGAACATCTCATCTAAAAGTTGTCGGCATTCAGATACAGTAGGAGGCTGGCCTGAATCCACGAAGCCCAAAACAGCGACTTAATTCAGCTACCAAAGTGCCTGCAACAAACTGAAGAGAAAAACGAGCCTTCTTATGTATTTTCAGCCTCAGCCAAGCTCACCCATCCATGAAAATCCCATCTCAGGGAGAGAGGAGGTGAAGACCTGTGAGCACACACACATTCACTCGCACACAGCAGACAGTAAAGGACACGCCGCCAGATCCTCACTAAAGCCCTTTATCCTTATCATAACTACTCCCACAATTACTCACATGAGTGGTTTACCTGTTTCCGCCAAGCCATGCTGCATTTTTACTGTCCTAGTGATACGAAAACCTCTAGGCACCAAACATTAACTGGGCCGCTACAGACAGGCACACACAGCGGTTACATCATGCTGGAGTGTGAGATGCAATACTTAAAGCGTAGACAGATACACAGGGCGGCATGCTCACATATATACAAACTGTTTTAACTTTGCATGGCTTTCTATACATCTCTTGTGTGAGACGTGACAGCAGCAGTCATATTTGTCTGTCTAAAAAATGTGCTGAATATGAGTTCTGTGTGAATGGCTTGGTTTCGGTTTTAACCTAATCAAGATCTGCGCGTCTTGTGGGCTAGACTTATAAAACATTCAAATGCAACAACATCACTTACATCATGATCACCGCATCTCGCGCTCCACTAATGATGCTCCCAGACGCACACCTAACAATTGATTGTACTATTTTTGCATTCAAATGCAAATGTTTATTTTAAATTACATTTTTTTATTCACAATCTCCTCATCACAGGCAGGCACAGCACTCAATTCAGCATGTGTTCGTGTTTGTGTGTGCGGTCTGCGTCACTCATAGCACGTGCCTAAAGCATGCGCTATATCAAACATTTTTTCTATCGTTATCGAAGAGGGTGTACCGTCGATAAATATCGATACCGTTTTATCGCCCAGGCCTAACACACACCATCTGAAATATCAACATGACTGCAAACAGCTGCTTCTGCCGTTTACTTTACATCTCTGGGCATGTTCATTAAAATTTTTGAGCTTTGAAATGGCAAGGACTCACTCAATGGCATAATGAGCAGACAGCACAAGAAGATGAGGCTGATTTAACTCCACTTACAAATTTACACAAAAAATGAACAGGCTTAATTACACAGATCAACTAAGTGTTCAGAGGTGCCAAGAGAGAAGATATACTGCCTATTAAACATGAGAACAGTGCCACTTCTAGGGTAACCAAAGCTCCATATAACACACAAAGCTGTATTAGCATGCACATGATCCCACAACAAATGCTTTATGATTAAAGTCCAACATAAAATATGCATGTTTTATACTCTAAGGGGAAATGTGTCTAGTAGTGTTGACAAATCATTTCAACAAATAGTAGAGCTCAGTCTTGCTGTGCTATTGGATGGATGTTTTTCAAAGGTCGATGCTAGCATTTGAAGCACAGGGGCTACATACACACTGCAGCTAAATTTGGTTGACAGCTTACCTTTTAATGCTTAAATCTGTTCTGTACACACAGAGTTCAGTAATTTATGGGACTGACAACCACATTCTACAACAGAATTAAGTTACGAAAAATGTAGGTAGTGACAACCGCATTTACAAAAATCCTATGCAGTGCGTACAGAATTGTACTAAACAACTAGTTATTAATGACGTATTTACAAATGTATCACAGTTGTGTCTCTCTTCTGTATGTGCCATGCAAGAAATCACTGGAAAAGTGGTGTCTTGATTCATTCTTGTTGCCAGATCTTGCCAAAAAAAGACAGCCAACAAGAACAAGCCCAAATAAATCAAAATACTTTATCTTGGAAGGAAGACCAAAATGTTCACGACCTGAACCTGCCTACTTTATTATTTCCATAAATTGGATGGCCTTATGAGCCCAAACAACAAGCCCTAAGACACTTATAATAAGTGGGCATGGCAACACTTCAAGAGTGAGCTCTGTGAAACAGCTTTCCAGTCTTAAACAAAACATGACAGTTCTGTCGACAGTGGTTTAGTTAAAATCACCAAACATACCAATTCTTTGGTCACTGTAATATTACTTTGGTCAAAAATAGAGGATATCAAAAGTGAGACACCAAGATGTTTACCATGGTGTCAGTCATGAAAATTTCACAGTCGGTTCTGTTCCATACACACACAAAACCATAATTCGGGGAATTCACTCCCATATTTAAATGCGGTTGTCTCTCCTGAAGCTTTACAGTGTGTACATAACCAAGGTGTGCCAGATCTTACCCACCCACTGTCTCTTTCAGTTACTAACAACACATCTGATATCGACAGCATACCCCCGTCAAAGCACTGACTCGTCAATCATCACAGAAAGCCCCAACATGAAGTCCCAAGGGAGGAGAGGACGACAAATGAAATCAAGAGGTAAATAAATGAATCGATGGATGAATAATAGATTAGGCAGCAAGTGGCCCCTTCGAGCAATGCCACGAATGCAATATTAATAAGCAGCTCTTACTGTTCGTCTCTGTGTCTTCACTGACACTCTTAGGAAGAGCATGGGCCGAATAACACACAGCTGATCTGTACATTCGATCCGGATTACGGATTTTCTTCAGTCCTTCAGGAAGCAAAGAGAGAGTGGAGAAGAAAAAAAAGAATTCTGGGAAAAGTACACATTCCCGGATGTACAACTTTGTTTTAGTCTTTATTTCCCCCATGCACATAGCAGGAACTTATAAGAATGTTTACCAGGGTCAGCAGTGCCGAACCCCAGTCTCCCTCCCATCAGCAAGCCCATGCATCCCAAATGTGTCCATCTCCATGCTGAAGAACACCTCTCCCAAACAATATGCACCGTTCGGCCTCAGAGTTCAGCGTGCCTATTTGCTTCTCCCCCTTTTTTATCAAGCGCATTCAGGGGTGCATTTAAAGGGATTACTTTGGCCTAAGGTGCTGCCTTGTGAAGAGAAAATGTAGTTTCATTTGCAGGCAGGGGTATGGACGAGGAATGTAAAAGCACCCGGTTCCCTTGTAACTTCAGACCACATGCACATTTTCATTAACTATAACAAAGTGTCATAGATGGCTCCAGCTGTTAATGGCTAGAAGTGTTACACTGCCAAGAGAGAAAACAATCTATCTAGACCCCTGTACAGTAGTAACTCCAATACTAACTGTTTTTTTTTTTTTCAAAATCACCTGACGTGTTGCGCGTGTTTGCCTGTTTCTTGTATTTTTTCACTTTTCACCTCAGTCTTGCTGATAAATCTGTAGGTGCTGAAATAAACAGTCAAGAAACAGCCCCTAACAGGTAGCGATGAGGGCAGCAATCAAATTCATTGTGGTCCTAGGGCTGTTTGGTGAGGCTCAATTTTAGTAAGCTACACCAATCAATGAACTTAATGTGTGTTTCTGTGTGAGGCAGGTAGGGAAGGATCGAGACAAGTCGAAAGGATCTGTTATGACTCCCCAGGAAGAAGTGGCATCTCCATCTATCCCTGTCATTCACTAATTCAATAAAAAAATTAAAAATGTCAAAGCATACTTTCAAACTAAGGAAAATGACTATGCAGAGATCTTTAAAAGTTAATTTTCTACATAATGGCTCAATATGTCACAAATCCCTCTTTGGAGAGCTTGAATCCTTCCTGCTTCTACTAATAGTCAGTTGTTGTGATAAACAGCACCCTAGTCTCTGAATGAACCACCAAATTCAAATAGATGTGTGTAAAAATATGGAGCACCAACATCATCAAAAATTTAAATAATCTGTTATCATTTACTTATTTTTGTGTTTTACAGAAGAAAGAAAGTCAGGTTTGGAACTTGATGACAGTGAGATTGTATTGTTGTTGTAGTTGTTTTTGGGTGAACTGTCCCTTTAAATGTACAGTTCCTTCGCACATCTCAATCCACCATCGCCACCTTCCATAGGTACAGTCCCAGTTCCTGGCAATCTAAAATGTGAGCTAGGTCATATCAGGAGACAGAAGAACTCTATGGGAGACATTAACCATGTTTTCATAGCAGCCTCCAGCTAAGAACAGCCTGTCCTTATGTGCAAAATACCCTGCCAAATAATAAGGCCCTGGAGAACCGTGCTCTATGCAAACATTTTAAATGCTTCAAGGACAAAAGGTTAAAATACAGGCAACAATCAGTGCTAAAATGAATGGCGTGCAACACGTATAATGGCAAACTACATGCTGAAAGTGAATAGGCCTAGAAATTAAATATAACACACTGCTGGCTATATGGGACTCTGAATTTAGTTGTAGCCATACGGTGCAGAGCACTCTATATTACTATGGAGGTGTGGAACACTAGCTCCTCCCCTATACATTGACCTGACAAGCATGACAAAAATAACCGAGCCTGTTCTGCAATGGGAGTCACAAGTCGGGGTTTCTAAAAAGCTCTTGGCTACTGAGATGCATTGGCAGGAAGCAGGCCAGTCTGACACACGTTTCAAGGCTGGTTGTGTTTGTTTGCATCTGAAATGCACACACAGACATGCAGAGATTGACACATGCCACATGCACACACCCACAATCAAACACATACACACACAAAGAAAGAGCTAGTTTGGGTAGTTAGCCTCAGTGCTGTTTTGAAAACAAACGTAGATTTATATTTATGGTAATGTTTGTATTCTTAGCTGACACAGTGTTAAAAATATAACAGTGAACATTTAGGAAGCTCAATACCACCCCCTTGTGGATTTCTATATGTTCGGATCCCTGTGTTTGTCTGGAGTCATGTTTTAATGTCAGTTTATATTAGGATAATTTATTCTATCTATAGTTTATCAATATGCATAATTTACTACACAAAAGTGAGGTTTTATGATCAAACATATCTTTCACCTTCTACTAGGCTATTCACCATCATGAAAATGGACAATTCATCATCACACTATGATTTATCAACTCGTTTTGCTGTCTTTAAAGGTTCCCTAGAGGCTAGTTTGTTAACTATCAAAAACGATTTATAGACTGAATTTTTGTTTTAGCCAAACGTATGTTTTTTCGAGATATGTTATCACGATTTCCCCAAATAAAGTTTCTTCTAACTCAATGTCGCCACCTTGTGGTTAATAAACAATTATTTGCTTTGATCTCACACTGAAGGTGAATTGCAAACAAAAAAATCCTCGCAACTAATGACGACTTGCCAAAACCTCGTTGTGTATACGTTTTATATTCAAGGAAATCTGTCATATGAGCTGGTGGCAGCTTGACACAACTGTTCAAAATGTAATTCTGGTCAGAGCTTCAATAATACTAAAAACAATACTGTTGACTACGTCTGACAATAATAATTAAAAATCGTATTTCAGCCAAATTTAGCAGCGAAATAATGTGGACATGCATTGCAATGCAACTGTATTAGAGTGTCTCTGAGTCAAACCAACTCGTTGCCTTATTCATTCAAGAGACAAATCTGAAAAGTATTCGAAACAGTGTTAAAGAGAAATGGTTATGTATAATCTTCAATAACACCTCTTCTTTCTTCCTGGCATAAGAATAAAATTTCGTTTTGCGTTATGGTCGCCACATTCCATTCTTGGTTATACAAGAATATAGTTCAGAGATTTAAACTGCTATTTATGTGTATCTGACGTAAAGGGGGCAAACTGGTATAGAAGAATGTGTCCTTGAAGCAAATTTCAAAGTGAAATATCTTTGACCACACATTACAAAACCGCAAAAAAGAAGGTCAGTTGGAGTCTATGGACGCGTGAAAGTGACCGAGAGGGGGGAAAATCTACTATTAAACAAGCTTACCAGCAGTATTTTTATGACTCCTGGCTGTAAGGTAGTTTTAGGTCAAACTACGGTCTCCAGAACTCTATCCCCGCCAACTCAGAAACAATTTACGCAACCGAGGAAGCTTGGTAAATCGAAAAAATAAGTTAGAAATCGACAGTCGTTGCGGCTCACAAGTTTTGCTTTGAGCGCGACCGTTAGGCTGAGGGAAACCGAGCGCGAGACGGATTTTTGAATTTTCAGAGGCGCTCGCGCTTTTGCTCCGGATTGTTTTTAAATATGTGTGATGCACACACTGCTGGCTAGCTACCGATGCTGGCTAGGGTGATGTGATGTGATGTGATGTCTGTGCTGGAATAACGAGTGTGTGAGGATAAACACAGAGGCTTTACAATCCCAAAAGCTCCTCGGTTCTCAACTGGCGGCTCTTCCCTGCCTGCCTCCAAATTTTTCCCCTCGCACACTCTTGTCGTACAAGTAAAAAATATCCCCGATGTTTCTGACTTACCTTCCGGCTTGTTTTCGGCAGCCATTTCCCCTCCGCGCGCCACATCCTCCTCCTCCTCTTCACGAGCGTTGGGTACCACGCGCGTTCACGCCGAGGACAGCAGCACGAGAAGCAGGGACTGGCGAGGCAGAGGCGAGTCCAACCGGAGCGCACTCACGATTGGCTGTCCAACTATGACTGACCATGTTGTTCTAAAATGGCTTGCGAGAGCAAAGCAAATATCCTCCCCTTCAAAGTGTCTCTGAGAACCATTGGGTAAAGCGTGATGTGTAGATACACCTTAAGAAGAACCGAGCCAATCCAAAGTGAGCGCTCTTGAGACGTTCGCGTGCAAATGAAAAGACGATGCAAATGTTTCAAGTTGCTCAATTCAAAGGCAGAAAACGTATTTTTCTGAGCTTTTTGCGCTGACATTTTATTCGTAAGCAATTCAGGACAGGTCATTTGTACGTCAAGTCAATGGCCTTTATCCATTTTATATTATAGCTCTGCTACCAATGCACTGTAATCACTTTTACTGCTCAGATTGAAAACTTTCGACCACGTTGAATTGAATTTGCAATGAATAAAATCGAGTTGACAACTCATAAAATCACGTAAAATGGCAGAAATCATTGTGACAAGTTCAATGGATGTTGTATGATAATTATGGGAAAACATTTTTTTTTTTTACAAATTGCTGATTGTTATAAAGCCACCTGCGTTAAAACGCAAAAGCTGTGCGTTTTTTATGTTGTTAAAGCAATGTATGCCATTAGAGATAGATACATAGCAATCCATAGGTTAACCTTGAAGATGAAGCAACGTTTGGACTGAATGCGCTGAAGTGCTGCGCCATGGTGCTGAACAGACAGCTCCAGGTGGCAGCAGCGGTCTACTGTCACAGTGCGCTTTCACGAAAAATGTAGCACCCCAGACCTCCTAAATATCTTATGGTTCACTGAAAGTATCCGGAAAGTATCCTACACTGCTGAGCTTGCGAGATAAATAGTTTCTGATAGTCTATTCCAATAGTGTATGCATAATGCTGTGGTCTGGGTCCCATCTGAATTGCTTAGAAAACCTCAAAACTGCGTTTAGGAATATGGAAGTCGTATTATAACCGAGCTGATTAATTATTCGTTAGATTAAGCATTCGTTAATTGCATTGAGCATATAGATAATGGCTTAAATGCCTCTCTGCCCGCAGCGAATACCCTCCATGAAATGTTATCATTAAAGCGTCATCTTTATTGCTTGCAGTTGCTTGATAACACGAGTGCTTTCCAAATCCTTATCTGTTCATTTTCGAAGAGAAAAATCTTGGATTGTTGAATAAAATATTCTAAATGACCCGTGGAGAAAACATTCGGGCCAGTCTATCAGACGAAACATCTGGTAATGGAATACACATAACATTGTGACTTATAAACAACATATGACTGAATAAATCAAGCTCAATGTGTATGTAGTAAAGGTTTAATGTAGGATTAGAAACGTGTTCAGAAGGCTAATAATAATACATAAAGCTCTTGAAAAATGTTGGTTTACTACAGCTTTTGAGGCACTTGAATTCTCTAAGGGACTGAAAATTATACTACAGCACAATTCCTTATGGAACATCTGCAATCTATTCTTGCCAAGGATCACACATGGCATCACACAGAGGTCTTCACAGGCTATCTACTCCTTACTTAAATTCCATTACGTCACAAAAACATCTTTGTTTCCATCCATTTAACTTATCACAATAATTTCTACTCGATTTTATGACTTTTCGAAGTTGATTTTATTCGTCTGTAATTAAAATCGAAGTGGACTTATTTAATGATTGCACACATACTGACACGACACTGATTTATTATCGACATTTTTTTTTCAAACACTAATGGAACTCAGCTTGGATCTGACGTCAACTACAGCCCATTAACTAACTGAATGTTAATTAAGGCCAAAAGAGGGCGCCGGTTGACTTTTTAACTGAATAAATTAAATTAAACTAGAATGTTGGATAAATAAAATGTCTAGAATTAATAAAAGTCTGCTAGAAACATCTTTTAAGTCTTCAGTTTGAATGTATTTATTATTTTTAGATATTCTTTGTGGATACTTGAGTGTTAAAGTCTAGGCTATATTTTGCGTTTGCAGCACGTAAAAGTATTTCAATTAGATTAAATGTTCAACATCCCATCAGCAGGCTAATATAAACACGCTTGGACATTGATAAACTTGAAACGAAAACGCGAAAACGCGCAATGTCGAGGAAAACTTGCTAGTGTCGGTTAAATTAATAGGCTATAGGCCTATATTACATAGCACATAATGTGGTTGTAAAATATAAAATGTTGTATATTTTATTGGTACGTTATACATAGATGAGTATGTGGATTTTCCTAACCGAAAAAATGACAATAAGCCATAAAAACTGATTTTTATGTCGTCTGGACTACTGGACAAACAATTAGAAGTTTATTGTAAAGTGCAAAATGCGAAAATAAGGCTCTGAGAAATTTTTACAACATGTTTGTGTCCCCAAAGTTCTACCAACACTTGCGGTCTTCACGCACACTTGAAGACTTGAACTAAATACAGAAAGGACCGGTCCGTATACATATCTATCTGGACAGGCCCAAAGAACTCTCTCTTACATCCTTTTGCTCAGTGTTTCCTCCCATCCTGAGGGTGGCGCTGAAGCCCTGCATGCGCTCCAACTCTACACACCAAAAATCAGCGTAGTTTGATCTGGCGCTGGGGCGGGGCGGGGCCGGGGATGAAAGGTGGTAAATATGGCGGCGGCCTTGGAAGAAGATGAAATCGACAATGATGATTATTATTCTCTGTTAAACGTCCGCAGAGAGGTATGCCATATTGTTGTTAACAGAGAAGTTTAAGATGAGAAAGCCGCAAGTGAACAGTAAATGCAGGTGCTTCAGGTATCGCGCTTTTAAACAGGATCCAACAGCATGTCGTTAAGCTTTGGCTTCAGTCAGCACACCGTGACCCTTACTTATCATTGTCTTCAAGCAGGAATTTGACTTCATGGTCATTAATAGATCGGATGCATACTATATATAAATGCCTTCTGTTCTCTTTCACCTTAAACGAGAAGCACTGAGTGAAAACACTATTTAGGTGGTACTTTTTGGCACTTCTCAACTGTAAAAGTGAAACTGCTTCCAAAGTGTTGACTTCAATCAAGAAAACTCTGCGAATGATATTTAACACATCTATTAAACGAGATCGTTTTGTCTTTGCCAGCTGTTAAGATTAGTAGAAAAAAATAATTTACCTAAAAATGAAAAATCTTTTACCATTTATTCACCCTCATGTTGCTCCAAATCTGTATAACTTTCTTCTGTGGAGACGTTATGCAGAATGTTATGGACTGACAGCCATCTTTTGGCATACAATGTAATCAAATTGTGACTTTGACGTTTTCATTTTGTCTAATTTAGTGGAACAGAACAGAAAGTTAAACATTTATGACACTTTAAAGTTTTCACAGAAGCCAAGAAGAGGATTTAAATTTGTTTTGATTACAACTTTCGGAACTTGTTTTTGGACTCTCTTGAAGTTTTTGGTCTTGATTTTGCACCTTTTTATGTTATGTCCTCCCAAGAGCAATGTTGTAATTTAGGGTTATGATGAATGATTTCTGTTTAACTTTATATTCAGGCCACACAGGATGAGCTCAAGGCTTCATATCGCTGTCTTTGCATGCTCTACCACCCAGACAAGCACAGAGATCCAGAGCTTAAAAGCCAGGCAGAGCAGCTTTTTAACTTGGTTCACCGGGCATATGAAGGTACGTTGTTTTTGCACACTAGTGTTGCTTTCGTCAACGAAAATTAATTTTCATTGACTAAAACTAGACTAAATGTCATCAGTTTTCGTCGACTAAAACTAGACTAAAATGCTCAGACTTTTAGTTGACTAAAACTTGACTAGACTAAAAAGAGTATGAACGTGACTAAAACTAATAAAAACTAAAATGACAGTTTCACACAAAGACTAGACTAAAACTAAAATTAAAACAGGCCGCCAAAAACAACACTATTGCACACTCAGCCTTTTAAAGCCTTTGACAAAGCAAGCCACTTTTGTTGCATTGTTGTCTTTGTTTTTACTGTCAAGGAAGCATTTTGTTTTTAAAGGGATAGTCCATTCAAAAATTAATATTTTGTCATCATTTAATCACTCTCATGTTGTTCCAAACCTGTATGCATTTTATGACATATTATGAAAAATGTTCATAACCAAACCAGTTCCCCTTTGACTTCCATTGTTTTGGAAGTAAATGAAAACTGAAACTGTTTAGTTACCAACATTCTTCAAAATATCATCTTCTGTGTTCCACAGAAGAAAGTAAGTCATACAGGTTTGGAACATCATTAGGTAAATGATGACACAATTTTCATTTTTGGGTGAACTGTCTGGCTGACTCTTTAACTTTTATAAAGAATATCTCTTTGGATTTGAGACTTTAGTCTTTGCAACTTTACAGATCTTCTTTATGCACCAAAAGCTTGTAACACTCCAAAGAGAAAGAAAAACTTGAAATCGCATCATATGACCCCTTTAACAGACCCTTTCTCTGTAGTAAAACAAGTTTTTAATACCAAGTCATGAATATTTCATGATTGTGATTTATGTTCTTTTGCAGTACTAAGTGACCCACAATCTAGAGCAATCTATGACATATATGGGAAGAGAGGGCTGGAAGTGGAAGGATGGGAGGTAAGTTGGCTATTCAGAAGGCTAAAAAATGCTTCAGCATTCATTTCATACTTCCATAACATTTCAAGCAAATAATTTTCCCAGTGGGCTTTTGTGTCATCTTTTTTGTGCTCACTACAATAATGATTTCTAGGTAGTGGAGAGGAAAAGAACACCAGTAGAGATCCGTGAAGAGTATGAGCGACTTCAAAGAGAGAGAGAGGAGAGAAGACTACAGCAAAGGACCAACCCTAAGGTTTGACCTAATGCCTTCAAAGCAGCAGCCACTGTCATCATTAATACAGGTCTCGCTGATTGTTCTCTGTTTATCTCAGGGCACAATAAGCGTGGGTATTGATGCGACA